GCTGGGGTAATAATATAGTGTAAAGCGCATAGAGCCTGCTTTTGAGCGGGGATATGTCACCACAGCTGTCGAGGCAATGGGGCCTCATAGGGCAAAGCCAACAGATTTTTTGTTTTTTTGTTTTTGTTTTTGTTTTGGTAAGTGTTTTACGGGGCTCGCAACTGCATAAGGTCATACGAGCGCGCGGGACACATCAAGCATTTTCAGTTTGGTAGAAATTCATTTTGAATTTTGCCTGGGTGGCGGTCGAACCCTTCTCTTATCGATTTGATACCTTCATGGGATCTTTTTACTTGTGCAACTTGCACAAGGGACATCCCACACTTTTCGCTCTTATCCGAGAAGGCTAAGTGTTTTATGTTACCTACCATAAGATAAGGGGTGTGGCTGAAAGACAGCTCTAAGGCGGAGCCAAGGTGTAGCAGTAGAAAGGCTGTAGAAAGAGTCAGAAACCCAGAGGAGGGGGCAAAGAGCGGAAAGTAGAGACAAAATCAAACGGCAGAATATGGTTAAAGAGCAGGGAAGGAGGTGAAAGGAGACAATTTTAGATATGAAAATTTTCCATCGCTATCATGTTTCGGTGCCGGACCTATTGGATGAGAGGGGAACACCGTAACCTCTATTATAGACCAAGAGAGCCCACTTCAAATCTGATTCTGAAATCTTAATCTTTTCTTTTCATAATTTCCTTTCCGTCAAAAGTCATCTTTCTGGTCGTCTTGTTTTTTAATTTCACCAAATAAACCAAAAAGTCTTGATAGGGGCGTTAAACCTATAGCATTTTCACACACATACATGATAACAATAGAGCTATAATGGAAAGTAGAGGCAAACAGAAATCAAAGACGACCTTCTTCATCGTACCTCGACAACGCGAAATCTGACGGTGGTCTTACAATATGTTGAAGTACAGGCCCGTTTGTGACCCGGCAGCGATACATTGAACGATGTATTGTTCATACAGCAACTCTCTACGTGTAGCGGAAAAATTACATAAAATTGGACGAAGGTTTGGAAAAACTCGACTGAGACGTCAAGTGCCGACTGATGTTCATTATGCGAGAAAGGTCAGATTTAGGAGAGAAGGGTAGGGAAGCAAAATTCTTTTGAGGTTTGCCGCCGCGCGCGTCATCGTAGCAAAACCCCCACCAAAACTGATTTCCTTATTGGATCAGCGTGTCAAAATAAGAGAAAAAAAAACCGTTCGCAACGAATCTGATTGGGTGAGATATCTAAATTGTGGAAAACTTTGTTTCTAGACTATTAATTTGGATTCTGGCGTGATCGACCAAAGTCACCCAGGGGGTTGGCTTCTGACGTCCACATTTCTAGACTCACACACTGCATGGTCTCTCTCTCTCTCTCTCTCTCTCTCTCTCTCTCTC